GAGCCATACTATCATAATTATATTGTGCGTATCGGGGATAAAAAAATGGGTATTGGCCCATTTTATTTGCGTATGGGGCAGAAATAATTGTGTATCGGGCCCGATACGCAAGTTTGCACATGGGGAGAACCCTGCATGATCTAGAAATCATGATGCACAACCCACTCTTTTATTCATTTATGATTCATTCATGTCCATATACTGTATATATTATATTTACTCAAGGATAGAGTTTTCTCTTGGAGACTCTCATTTTATGTAGTTCATCTTTTTTTCCTCAGAAAAATTGGAGGAAAAAAATGAACCTCCTTGGATCATTTTATTGAAACTGAGATATGTCTGGCACAGAGCTGTTAACATATAGCATGTTGGAGAATTATTTATTTTTGTTCATGTTTGTCACTGCAAATATATCAATTGCCATTGCAACTGCTGTTTGATGTTCGTCTCTTTCAGAGATGATACATGTATGTATGCGCTTGGGCTTATGCATGTAATTTATTCAATATTCATGTGGGGAATGTGGAGAACCTTCTGGACCAGCAACTTCAGTTTACTACAGTTTACTCCTTCCGTTTCTAGTTTCTCTGTTGGGACTAATATTTCTGGGGTAATTTGGAACCACACTGTTATGGCATTTCTTGCACTGTGTTAATAGGCATGCATTGCACTGGAGTTTGTTCCCTATTACTGAATATCCTTGTTACTTTGTGGTTACTGATCATCAAGGTTCACAAGCGGATTGCCTTAGATGTCAGGATTTGCAGAGATTTAGTATTTAGTTTGCTTGTGTTATGGTTGAAGGTCTCTTGCTCCTTGGTTGTGTTGATATATTATTTTTAATTCGCTAATTCGTCATACTTTTAGTGGGTGAAGATGTTGCAGTGGAAAAGTGTCTTATATTTGATAAGCTACTCGTAGTCAAGTACTTGTAGTAATAGTAGTTGTAAGATGAACACATAATTTAAATACACTGTTAATCATAACGTACATATGTACATTTATGTGTTACGGCATTTGGTGATATAATTATGACATTTCTAGATTTATGTCTTTATCAGATTTTTTTTTAAACATTAATTTGGTTACACTAAGGGATTGTGAAAAACTGTCACTGATGGACAGGTTTAGATGTCACTTAGAAATGCCAAATTTTGAGTTTTGAAACTGATGAGAAAATGAATGATTGAATGCCTTTTCCCAACATTCACTAGCCTGGGTTTAGGTCATAACTCCAGGTTTTATTTGAAGCTGTGTGTTTGTGACTTGACTGCGGTGGTCATTAATGATGCTAAAAGCATGTGTTTTAATGGATAAATTCAGGAAAAGGTACTGTCCTGCTGGTGTAACACTGACAGCATGAGGACTGTGATGACATGTTGATTAAAATCGTCATCAGCACTGGGAAAATGGAATCTGTTAATGCATGAGTTTAGCAGATTTGATTTAAAGGTACAGTACATTTAAAGATGTTGGAGAAAAGGCATGCAGTTTGGAGTTCTCGTTTTAGAAATCAAGTGTATGTGTACGTACTAGAAGCATCATTTTAAAAATTCATATGAAATGACTGAGTTGTGCCTTCAGTAGTTCGCTGTATCCACAACTGAATCTTTTAGAATATTTGGACAAAGTACGTTTTGTGTATCTTCATAGAATTGGGCTTTTTCATTTTGTCATTTTTAATTTTTTTTTGTAGGTGCAAGTCATTGTGTGTCATGCTGCTGAAGGGGCATTAGTTTACAATTTGATTTGCTAAGATCACACACTAAATTAACTTCTGAGAAAAGATAGGGGGAATGAGAAGACATTGAACCCAAACATGTGGCCTCATCTCAGACAAAATTAGTTAATATTCATAAAAATCCTTAAACATGTACGATTGCGCAGCAAGTACACAGCTTGAATTGTACACAGGTACAATTGTAATTATATACACTTGAACCTCATTAATAAAAGATCCCTTGGACTAGGCAGATACCTTGTCATAACAGGAACCTTGTATTATCATAATAGGAATGAAAACAATGACAAACAAAGGATTGGGACCTAAACATTTCCTTGTAATAAGCAGTGTCTTGTGTTAACAGTGCTTTTATTAACGAGGTTCAACTTTACATGAAGTTAAAATAATTTAAAGAGTTGGCCATGCGTGTACAGAATAGTAGGTAGCTACAAGTAGTCAGTCAATTCGAAAGCTGATGCTGCACTCCAGTAACTGGTTGTCAAGACTACCGGAACACATTTTTACCGAGGGATGCTGCGTGACTAGGTGTACATTCATTCATTTCTAACAGCAAGGTCGGGGGGGAGATTCTAATTATAACTCCAGCACCTCTTCCCAAGAGTCGGGGGGGCGCTGTGTACCTACAGGACCCCCATTACATTTCAACAGGCTCACCTGGTTATGCGAGGGGAATGATAAGTTAAAAAGTTGGTGAAGCATATAGGTACATGTGGCTTGTGAATTATGTTGTGGCTGGTTATGCAGTGCGGCTAGTTGGTTAATTGTGTAGGTTGTTGAGAGTGTTGGAGTACATTTACTTGTGAATGGTTATTTTGTGATGTACATGGGATCACGTATGATTACATTCACCGCTATAACTGTCAAAGTACCACTTATCGCACCACTGCCACAAATGTAAAAATTTGTCAAGTTGTTAACAAGCAGTTTATTTGAAAACATCGTTATTTTGTGCTTGATAAGTGATTAGAATTGGGTTTAATTACATAGAACCCTAGAATGTACATGGTAATCTTGATTGATGATTGAGGGTTTTGACGAAGTAACACACAATCTGGACAATTTGAACAAAGTTCATTAACGGAATACTACCAGCTTTGCTTGTTTTAACGTATGAGTGAGTGAAAGAATTTTAAATATGCCAGTTGATCCCTCCCATCCCTTACAGTGGTAAAATATACGTTTCTCCACACTAATTATTGTGATGGGTTAGGGACTGTATGGTCCAGCCATAGAGGTTTTGCATGGCAGCCATCTTGGAGGTCATTTCAAGATGGCTGTCACACCAAATTTCTTTTATTACTTATACAAGGATCTTTCATGTCAGATTTGGTGCCATAGATAAGCTGGGCAATTTCAGAATGCTCTGCTATCAGAAATTCACAGGTTTTTTCTTTAAAGTTGTTTTATGTCAATGTTACCATTCCTGCTTAAAGTACAGTGGGATCCATGCAGTTGGTTCACAAGTGGGTGAACTACAAAAGGGCCAATTTCATAGAGCTGCTTAAGCACAGAATTTGCATAAGCATGAAAAAACCTTGCTTAATTAACAAAGGTTACCAGCTCAAACTTCATGTGATTGTCATGCTAACCAAAAGACAGGTAAATACCATTCCAAAACAATATACTATGGAACATTGTTATAACAAGGTCCTTTGGACTTTACAAATTACCTTGTTCCAATAGTTACCTTGTATTATCAGTCATGGAAACAAAGAAAAACCAAGACTTGACCTAAAACTATCCTTGTTATAAACGTGACTTTGTATTAACATTGCTCTTCTTATGTGTGGTTTGATTGTACATCACAAGAAGTTTTGGCAGGTAACTTGATTTGTCAAGCAAGGTTTTTTCACGTGTGAAACAAATTATTTTTTCGCTTAAGCAGCGCTATGAAATTGGCCCAATACATTTCAAAATGACTATTCATGTACAGCGTTCACTTATTTGCATTTCCTGTACATATGTGTTCCAGTACATTTGAATGCACTTTAACTTTTTCTTGTATTTGAGATTATTTTTAATTTAACCTGTTCTGAATGCCTGCACATTACCCCACGGGAGTTCAAGGGTTAGTCATTGTATACATGCCTACCAAAGAATCGGGATAACACT